GCAGCTGAGACATCGCTGCCGGCTGACCGCAGGAATCTGGTGATCCCCAAACGGGTCACCTTCCGCGAGAAAGGCTCGTCCCGCAGCTCCGTCAGGCCCTGGGTGTACCGGTCGCTGCGGTCGCCGCCATACCTGGGCTGGCGCAGCGCGGAACTGACCACGTCTACTGCGGTGTTGCCCCCTCAGAAGCAGCGGCAAGCTACCGTACGGTGACCAACGCTCGTCGACCAAAGCTGTCAACACTTGTCACCGCAGCACGTCCGCACCTCCCACCGAGACTATGTGTACTCATCGTTCCACCCTGCACAATGCTCGCAAGAAAGTCTCAGTATAGCCCGGGATGCACTCGCGCTCGCACCGTGGCACAATTGCGGAACGCCCTTGTAATGCTTGTTTCATTCGCCCTATAGTAGAGAAACACTGGGGCGTCTGAACTCAAAGAGCTCTTTTCACCTGGGCTAGTTTGTGTAGCACAAACCTGCATTCACGCTTGGAACTACAGCATTAAAGATGAACGCTTTATCGCTGTACTTCATCTTTATAGTCCCAGGTTCGAGTTTTCGTCGAACCTTGTACTATAAGTATGAATACTGAAAGGGAGGAAGCACGAGATGAGTATTGTTCTGCCTGCTGTCTGTCACAGGCTTTCTTCTTTTGTGACTGAAGTTCTGTGACGTAAGAGCGTGAGTTTCCGGCTACAGTTTGATAGGAAGACGCAGCTTCGCTTGGCATTATTTGGAAGGAGTAGACGGCCTTGTATGAGAGAACGGCTCAGTGTTCAGGCGCAGTCTTTGTCAAAAGCTTGATGGCCGATTCGCAATTGATGACAACTCCTGATCGCCGTCACTACAAAATTACGGCATATCGTTATGTAACACTTCTACGTGGCACCTTCGTGCTCGAAACAGATGTGACTGCTGTATTGATCAACGTCCGATAGTTTGACGTGAGAATTCATGGTCCATGGCTGGCTATATAGAGCGTCGGCTATGTGACAGGTATATATGGTGGCGCGTTCTGTGGTGTCTTGAAACACGGCAAGCGTTGCGGTTTAGCTAGACGTATGTTTAGAGTTGTAGTTTCTGGACGAGGCAACTTCTTCCTGATTTGCGATGCTCCACACCATTGGCCCTCGTCACTTCACAAACCACCTATAGTAAACAGAATACAGAGAAACAAAACAAATAAAATGGCTGGAGTCCGCCTTACACGGTCTCCTTTCACAAACGTTGGTGTTCTTCGCAGGGATGTTATAGTGTTACTGCATTATGGCTAACTTAGGCGCGGGCGCTGTCTCTGGGGCAACAAAACGCACAAGTTTGCTGCACTTCACGGAGATGAATCGCCTAGGCATCTCATAGATTCCTCTTCTGTGCAAAGAAAGTGTCATGATTGATTTCGGTAGCTATAAAAACCGCTTACGCGAAAGTGTATTTATGCTATTTGTTTATATATACGTAGGTGTCCTTGACAATTGTTTACAAGGCTTAACGCTTTCAGCGTTAAGGCTTGGTGTTTTGTTGAAACGCTGACCATTTTATGCTTTACTGCGAACGCTTACTAAAAAAAAATGTCGCGTTTGTTGCTCGTAAATGTCTCGGTATACAGACCACGTTATGCTTATTTTTTAACGCGCGAAGCGTGTGCTTCTGTGGGCGTGTTTTGTATACCATGAACACCGATGATTTTGTTGCTTGGCACGAGCTGCCGAACGAGTGCGTTGCTGACAGCTGCGTTTTCGCTCCTAAAAGAGTGTCGGATTATTGGTCTCACGCCGCGATGGCAGACTGCCTCCATTTCGTTGCCTCTCGATCGATAAGGTTCGTTTGATGTGCAAGATGATGCGATGATAAAGAATGGAAGCCAAGCTCGTGGAGAGCATGTTCTCTGGTAGCATGTTCTTTGATCTATCAAACGCACTATGTTTCCAACAAATGGCGCAGGACCACATAGTGTCGCAAGTGTGTCGCGTTCACTACAGCCGGGACGTGGGCTTCACAGCAAAAAGTGAATCATACGTCGAAGAGGAGACGTAACCATGAAGCTGTAATGTGGAAGCGTAACGCCTTGAGTGCTGCCAATATTTTTTTTTTAGAAAAAGACAAGAGTGTAGTTGCCAAAAGACTTTTCCCTCCTTTTTTTTTGTATGTTCAAGTAATCCAACTGCTGTTTGCAAGCTATCTTTCCTTTTTTTTTCACCACGTACGTCATGCTATACCCTACAAATCGCAAAAAAGTGCATGGGCCAATTGACTAATCTATATCTCAATCAGTCAGTCTTCTCTCTCTCTCTTTCCCTTTCTTTGTTTTTTTTTTTGAACATTTCGCGCTTGTAAATGGGTATATGTTAAACTCTTGGTGGCATGTCGGGAAGCCTATATTGCTGTGAAAATTGCGTAATCATAGTACCACCCTTGACGGCGCTCTTCCAGTTAGCTTGGCTGATAAAGATGCATTTTGTCCTGAACATATAACATGAACACTTCTTTCACCAAATTTGTTTATATTACCCAGTGCTTTTACTTGTCATCCATTTTAGGCAGCATAGCCGAATGTCGCACCACTATTTTTATCTCTTACCTCATTTCTTCTCGTGGAGCGTGAATGCAGTCTCTTGCATAGTTTTTGACCCTAATTAGCAATATATTCATGGCGCATTCACCTAGCTGTAGTGTTAACTAGTACCTTCGAGCGACGAGTCTGCGAATATGAGCACATTTTTCACGTAAACATGCACGCTTTTTTGAACACAGCTAGTGTACTTGTCATTTTACATTTATTGCTGTAGGTTGGTGTCAGCTAGTTTTATCTCCTAGAAAAATCAAATACGAGCGCGCACGAGCTTCACGACATGCTCGGAAGGCTGCTGTTTTTGATGTCAACACGTCCACAAGAGCTCCAACCAAAATTTTAAAAATGAGTAAACATGCGCATTATGACACAGCAACAAATTCAATATTTTTTATTGTCCTGTAGACCAACTCAAATTACTTTGAATATAAATTTTTTCCGATGGAGGCGGAAATGTTGTAGGCCCGTGTGCTCAGATTTGGGCGCACGTTAAAGAACCCCAGGTGGTCGAAATTTCCGGAGCCCTCCACTACGGCGTCTCTCATAATCATATGGTGGTTTTGGGACGTTAAACACCACATATCAATCAATAAATCAATTTGAATATAAATTTAAGTAACGAGTTAGGTGTAACTAGTTAGCCAACTATTATATTACTTCTTGAAACAGAAAATTTACAGAGGAAAATTATTATAGCCTATTTAATGTTTTCTAAATTTCTTAACTAAATACCATTTAAATTTTTTTTGCCTCGCGAAAAGAAATGGCCGAGATATGAAAAAAAAAACGTTCCGCGTAAAATGTCTTTGGCAGCTGCGTCATTGGTGTCCTCAAACGGGCTAAGAAAGAATGATGGATGGTGCACGCAGACCGAAGACAGGATCAAGCATTAAGCAACAGAGGTGGATGGAACGCAATGAATTATCTTGCTTGTACATTTCAAAACACGTGATAGCTTGTACTTTGAAACAATGAAACAGACCGGGCAATGGAGATAAGCCATAAATGATGCAGTTCTATTCTTGAAGCTATGCCGGCGTTCCCATACCAATGACAGTAAACGTAAATGTGGAGGAAGCCTTATCTGTGCACGGCGATGAAAGGAGGCCGTGGCTATCGCTTATCATTTACGGTTTGTTCATACCTTCGGTCTGCCTGCAGTATCCATCTTTCTCTATGTGCACGTTTGAGGCCACTAGTGTCACTGCCTGCAAGCGCCTATACTCACGCGATTCTTTTCCAAATCTTGTGGTCTTTCTTTGCAGCGCGGAAAAATTCAAACCATAGAGCATATTATACCAACAAAATTATTCGGATGTTAATTAATGGTATCCAAGATCTCTTCATTGAAGGGTTCACGTTTAGAGAAAAACCTTAAAATTGGTAATTAATTATGGCTGATTGATTACCTACACGCGTTTAAAAAACGCTCAGACAAGATGAATGTGATCTTGCAAAGCGCTCATGAATCTTTGACAGCTTGGCCTGGGTGAGCCGAAATACCCCATATATCTACTTATTATACCTGCTGATATGACACATAGTCAATGTTCTATAGTTGTAAAACTGGCTTTCGGCATGGAGACTTGTGTCCGCTGACTCAAGAAATGTATTGAAGTATAAAGCAAAAACATTACCATCGGGATTAAGATGGGCCTATTGCAGTTCATTGACCTAAGCTTTACCGTTATATACGCAGCATTTGCGCTACGAATTTCCAACGTTGGCTAAGTCGAAGCGCGGGTCAGAGGCATAATATCTGACGTAGTATAGGTAATTTTTTTTTTACTTCTAATGATTTCTGCTGCTGACGAAATTGACTTCAGTAGCACTAGAGCAGGCAAATATTCCAGCCGTGGCGGTCACTTTCTGTCAGAAAATTTTACTCAGTTTAATTGCTGAAACTAATTCAGTAGTGTCTGATAAACAAGGCACAACAAAAATTTGTACAAAGAAAAGCGAAGAGGTTCCCGTAAGGAGATGGGAATTCGTAGATAAAGCCCTGGATCCCATCTTTCCTTTCTATTTCCCCTTCTCTCTGAGCAAATCTCTCTTGTGTGCTCTTTATCAGTCACCATGCAACATTGCCAAGCCGCCCAACTTGCTAAATACGATAGGTACCATTTCTGAATAGGAATACCTTAAAGGACGTGTCTACGTCAAGAATCTGAAGGAAGTCGTAGTGAAAGACGAAGGCTGGGTGTGCCTACGTCTGCATGTCCCAATGAATACTGACATCGGCCACACTTCATTTCACTTCTTCACGTGGCGGGATGGCCATATAGTATTACCTATATATGACATTACCAGTGAACAATTCGCAGGAACAAGGGCTGGAGGAGATTACGCAATCGAGCATTGCAATAAGACTTCTTCAGCCTTCTACTTTGTTAATTTTTGCGTGACATGGTATATTCTTACGAGTGTCGCACAAATGACTCGGCACATTGGTTTGCGTTTTGATGTCAAAAGCGATCAGTATAAATCGCCTACAACAAGCATAGGCCCCCTATGGCTTAGATCATAGTTGCACTGTTCCTATGCCTTGTATTAAAAAGTTGCTGGCGCTGGTGCGTATAAACACGTTGTACGCCCATGATTTATGCATCGGGTCGTGAAGTATCAACGTCGTCATACGCTGATTTAACACTGTACGAAAAACAGCTGTCATGTGATAAGAAAAAAAATGCAAGTACTGCAAACTTGTTCCAAGAAGGCGCCTTGCGAAGGGTTTAGAATCGGTGCAGTGACATAAGGCATTGAACATGATGTATTGGGGGTACGACTCTGCTTTAAACTAAATCTACATGACTAATACTCAAAAGAGCGATGCTTAAAAAAGGCTCTTTTGAAGCATGCTATTCTGCAGAGCAAGTTTCTATTATGTCGAGAATAAATTACAAGAGCAGCCACGACGAGTTTCTCCGCCTACAGGCTTAGACAGAAAACCTTACTAAAACATCAGTTTCAACGAAAGCTGGACATAGCAATGACTAACAAACAGTAATGTTGACCCTTAAACAAGGCCTAATTTATGCGAGAATATCTACATGCTGCAGTTCTTTTGTTATCATGTTTTTTCATCGATACTTCAAGGCACCGTCACGCGAAATTTGCACGTTACGTATGCTGCTTGCGAATGCTATGGACGAGTGCGGATTTCTCAAATTTGGTCATCGATACGCGTTTGTACGCCCAATCCGCCCTTATACTATGAGAGTGTTCCCAACGACCTTTTGCGAATAATGTTTTTTTTTTATAATCAAAAAGCTTCATTACCAAGGCTCAAGCTTATTTTTGAAGCTTTTCGAGGAAAGACAGGGCAACAGACTAACCAGAGTTTATTGAAAAAGCATAAGTTATTTCTAAAGTTACATGTCAGTTTTATCACTATCATTAAACTGTTAGTTTATTAGTCTGTACTGCATACATACATACATACATACATACATACATACATACATACATACATACATACATACATACATACATGCATGCATACATGCATACATACATACATACATACATACATACATACATACATACATACATACATACATACATACATACATACATACATACATACATACATACATACATACATTATCAAAGGAAAAGCTGCAGAAGGCCATCACAAAGCACAAAAATGCTAAATTAACGTAGAAAAATACCTATGGTTGACGTTTCTGTCAGGAAAAACAGGGCATGGGCGGTTTATTTTATTCTTATTATTTCGGTTGTAGCAGGTGAATCGCCGTGTTATCAGCGTTCGGCTGGCATCGCATATGATTCGGATACGTAGGCAAGATATTTCGGAAAAAATCTCCGTGGTTGCTATGCCATCAAACAGGAAAGAGAGAGAACGTGGCATGTCCCTGGATAAGAATTCGAGACTGCACGTGCTCCACACCTTCGACGAATGATGAAATCGAGCTCGTGCATTCCTCTTACCTATGCACGGGGTAGTTTTCTAAAGCGCGTGTTTAACAGCCAGGTGTCACGTAACACGCGCGCTTCCTTCTTTCCTTTCACCGAATACCGCGATTTCGCACTGCCTACCTTGTTCGCTGAAGTATGCGACGCCTATTTGAAGAGCAGTTATTTCGTCTGAGCGGGTGGTAGTTGCGAGAAACATTATCCCCATTTCATATTACCGAGGTCCAACACCGATATCAGTTTCACCAGCCACTATTAGGTAGGAGAAGGAGACACTTTCGCTCGACTTCTCGATCAATACGGCGTTGTCATGGCCCTTGGAGATATTACGCGAGGTAGAGCGGTCGTATCATGTGTTACTGCATGTTC